GAAATACATATTTCTTTTAGTTAGTAATTTACTACATGTGTGGTCTGTTAATGTTTTATCGGATAATTTATAAAGTCATTTCACCTTTTTTCTTGGAATTAAAATTTTATCGTATGGCTGTATGATGTACATACGAGACAAAATAGACTTATATAAGGTGTCTAATAGATATAAATTAGATATAATAAAATATTTTATTTGAAAAATGTATATACCGGGTGTTTCAGACCACCCGTCCCACCCTTTTAAAACGTAGGAATGTGCTTGTACAAAAAAATGGCTCAGACGAAATTTGCATGATTTTGAGGGATCTATCTGATGGTAACCTTGACTTTGACCTCGCAGTTGATTTTTAAGGTCATTTGAAGGTCAGAGTTATTTTTTTAAATGGAAACCCCTATTTTTGATTCCAAAATCTAATAGCTGGTGTCAAGAGCTTTTCAAAACACTATAATGAAGTTATTTTTCATTAAGTACTTTTCGAGTTATGAGGCTTGTAAATTACAGTATTTTGACATAAAATACAAAATATCTTGTAAAATATTCAATTTTTGGGAATCTTACCTTAATACTTTTATGCATAAAATAATGAGACGAATCAATTGGTATAAAGAAAACACATAGTTGCTTTCAAGAAAAAATATGTAGTTTGCAACATGCAACTGCATACTAGGGGGGTACAGGGGGGAGGGGCTCTGCCTATTACATGGCTAGTCACTATTATAGAAGTTTAAAATAACTTTCAAACACAATATGCTCTTCACCTTGCGTAGGGGCCTTGCTAATCTTTTCAGTATCTAATATTTTTAGTATATTGTAGACTCATACTTTTAGTAAGGCGAAGATTTAATTCATATATAAACTTTCTGCGCGCACACACCTTGCGTTGGGGTCTTGCTAATCTTTTCAGTATCTAGTATTTTTAGTATATTATAGACTCATTAGATTTTTAGCAAGGCAAAGATTTAATAAATATACATAAATTGTATACGCACACACGCCGCTACATTCTTGAACGGCATGCGCATGCAAGCTAAGGCCTACCTGTTTACCAAAGTTTTTAATCTTTAACGTCAATTTTCTCGAAAATTATCAGTTTTACACAAAAAATGCATAGAACATAAATAATGTATTTTACAAGAACTACAACTTTTATTTGAAACATTTGTTTGTTACGTCAATATTTATTAAAATAAT